TAATGAGCGCCGTCGCCATGGCAACCCGCGCATTCCTCGGCGCCGCACCGTCGGTTCCCGGTCCGGCCGCGCGATTTCGGGGAGAGGCCCGACGGCAACGCCCGGGCACGGCGCACGGCCGCGGAGCGGGGGAAGGCGGCCGGGAGGGTTCCAGGCGCGGCCCGGCTGTCGGCGGCAGCTCTGCTGCGCTCGGGACGTCCGTGAGCTGCGGCGATAGCGGTGAATCCGTCTCTGCTTCCCGGTCCTTCCGTTCCTCCCGGCCTGCAGCAGGAGCGAACAGGCACGAAGTGCTCGGTCCTCACAACGTGAACTGCGGGGCTGAGCTCCAGGCTCCCACAGGCTATTTGGGGCAGCGACGTGGCTCAAATGGCATTTTCACTCCTCTTTCTTAGAAATTTAAGCTTGAAACTGGGTTACGTTGGGCAGGAAGAGCAATCAAACCCATCACGGCTGGTAAAGTACCTACCTCGTACAATATAGATAGAGCTGCAGGACCACACAACCGGCCCCTTAAACCCCATCCGAAGCAGGCCAACAACGACAGCACAGGAGCAAGCTGTTGCTATGGACTCCCTGCCACTTCAAGCACTTCAACGTGCTTGAATTTGTGCACTCCAAAACTTTTAACATGTTAAAAAAGGTGCAGAAGCTTGATCAAGCAATCAGGAAACAACTGACAGGTGTCTCCTCTGCTGGCACTGCCTTCTTTCCCGTTTTTGAGTAAGCACTTGTACTAAAACAGGGAAGACAGTCATCCCATAATGCATTTATGCTGCAGTAGGAGGTTCAAACAGATTCAATGAAGAGCAGTGACATCCGTCACTGCAAAAGCAGCCAGAACTCACCCTCCCTGCACTGAAGGCACACACCGTAGGTCCTCTGTTCTTGGCAATATTTGCCAATTTTTAAAAAAGTTACAAATTCAAGAATGCTGAACACCTGAGGAACAGCTGGTATTGGCAAAAACAAAACAAAACAACCCCAAACCATGAGGGCTCTGTGAACCTTCCGGCTGCTGTACTACACTGGTGTTCTACGTATCTGTTCCACTTCCCTGTGCCTCAACTGCCCTTTCTGCAACCTCCGTTATGACAGCCTCTTTTTATTCCAATTTAGTTCTTTGCAATGTTTATATTTACTTTTAAATGGCTCTTTCAACACATTGCTCCTCTCAGTTCCTCACAACACTTAACCCTGCACTGAGCAGCATGGCCCTACCAGTCAGCTCAGAACAGGAGCTGCCATCCCAAGCACCATCCACGTGCAAACCACTGCTGCTCCACAGGTTAACTGCAATGTCACTGTGCCACTACAATCCCAAGAAACTATTTGCTGCGTTATTTTCATCTCACATTGATGCTGAGCAGCAATGCTAGTGGCTGATGCTAAGCAGAAGCACTGTGTAACGAAAAGGCTTTCCACTTTACCTGTTTCTAGAAGCAATGTTTTTCCTGCTTGCAAATCAATCAGGTGCAACTGTACATCATCACACCAAGCAGATGAGACATGAGCTATCACACATCTACTAAACAGTAATATTTACTTTTTAAACACAATGCAATCCTATTCCAGATGCACAGACCAGGGAGTATTTGTCCAATCCCACCCACAGCACTATCCATGAGTACAAGCTGCATCTTTCAATCACTTTCAACTGCAGCTTCACCTGCAGAGCTCTCCTCTCCATTATTTTCAGTATTCTGCACTGAAATCACAGAACTGTCTGGTCCCAGTAAGTCAAAACACTTGAGGAAAATTTAAGAATTTTGCTTTTTAAAATGGAACATCTTCACTCATTTTGTAAACATTGGAGATTCCTAAATCCAAATAACTGTCCCACAGAAGCAGCTTCCTGTAAAATGATGCACCCCTGGAGTCATAATTACCCCAAACCCTATTCAGAGCTATGAACCATTGAAAAAAAAAACATTCTAAAATGTGTGTTAGCTGTATGCATCAACTTACTACCACTACTTGTACAGCAGCATGTGTCACACCAACTGCTATGATGCCCCTATGCTTGTATTTAGCTAACCAGCTCAGATCATTATTGAAAGATGCCACTAAAAGGGTTTGAGCCATTTCAGAGAAGTCGACTGCAGATTTTTATTGAGCTGAGCTCAAACCCCACAAAATCATGTAGAAGCAAATGAACTTCCCCTCCAACATTCACATCCAGCACAACTAAGTGTGAAGCTTTGAGAGTTTAGCTACTTGATTCCTTCCAGCTAAACACAAAACTAAGTGTGGGAAAAATAAGTCAATCACAATGCTCTTATGATCCCAAGAACAGATGGTCAAGTTTGTGAACTGTTCATATCTGCCACTACACAAGAGTTTTTCTTTTCACCTTTTAAAGTAGTGCATTCCTTTCAGCACTGAAAAGCAAACAAGAAATACAGCAAAGATCTGCTAACTCTGTTGCAGGAAAATTTTAAGTACGTATCTTGCGAAGTTTTCCATGTTCTCTCACGGGGGTAATGGAACATTGCTCAATTGGTTTTGTTTGGTGGGTTTTTTTGTGTTTTTTTTTTTTTGCAGACTCCTCAACTTACCGTTTGCAATCTGAACACATCCCCAGATTCACTCTTTGACTGAAGAGTACATTAATCACTGTTCTCCTTACAGTGCTAACAAATTAGATTTAAGAATTAGAAATAATTCATACCAGGTATGAAGTAACAAGCACAGCAAGCTTGTTTAGTTCATTTGCTGCATTTAAGAAGTGATTTCTGAACACCTACCATGAAACAAGCCTACATGGCTGCCTATTAAGGTATGCTGGGAGCAAGACATTTTCACGGTGGCATGCAGAAGCAGGACAACTTGTGTGGACTTCAGTAGTAGTGCTAACAGCTTCTGAAAATGAAGTGTTGTGGTTGCAAAGGCCAATGTAATTGCCCCCAGGCCTTGGCACTGCTGAGGAAGCATCTCTACAGATCTGCCCCATTCACTGGTTTTGGGGTATCAAACTACTAAACAGTTAGATGCTCAACATGTGCTCCAACCTCAATCACTACCTTAACTTCAGGCTTATCATCTACCCAGTTCAGGAATAATCACATTTTACAACTTTCTTCATCAGACCTGGTGCATTGTTTTATTTTCTTCTCCATTAAAGCAGAGCTAGAACATGAGAGGAAGGCCCTTCCTGAGCTGGGAAAAAAAAGGAATCCTCTTCTGACATACTGACACTGGCAGGCAAGGCAGATTAAGTTAAGGCAAATACAATCAAGTCAGCACGAAGCCCTGAGCGATAGTGTATTACCAGATAGCCCACTGCGGTATAAGAGTCATTGGCATTCCTCTCTCTAAGGAAGAAATTGCAAACACACTGCCACAGCTCCTACTTGAGCAGTGAATTATTTCCTGTTGTGCAGATCCAGGAATCTCAACTAGTCCTGACCACTGACTGTAGTGCAGCTTCTCTGCAACAAGGTTTCAATTCCCTTCCAAAGCTGAAGAGCACCCACATGAAGCACAAACTGTCCTACTGCTTATCAGCAGTTCCAGACACAGCACAGACATGAGGTGTTTCCACCATCTGGGTTTAAGGCAGGTACTTTACATCACACAAAAGGCCAATGTGGTGTCAGGTGGATGGTTGGACTGGATGATCTTCGGGGTCTTTTCCAATCCTGGTGGTTCTGTGATTTGCGCCAAAACAACATTTAAGGGGAGAGGACTTAAAAACAAACAGAAGAAAACAAGGAAAGCCCAGGTACAGACTCCAGTGCATTCACTGCGATTCCCAAAGCTTTAACAGACCAGCACTGATTTCCCCTTCAAAATTTGCTGTAAGACAGAACGTTTTGTATCAGTCCTACATATCTGATGACCATGTATTGTTCATCATTCATTTTTTTCCAAAAGCAAGTTTATGTTGCATTGTATCTAATGCAGAAAGAAGTCAGCATGCCTAATAAACATGCACATCCCTGAAAAGATGGTTCCAACATCAGGTTAAAATCTGAGTAACACCAAATGCTTTTGCCTTTAATTCTTCCTGCTACATGTTGTAGCTGCAAAAGACTGCATGCATGCAAGGCTTCCATGCTCTTCAAGTTTAAGACATTATTCATCCAAACTATAAAGTCTAAAAGATCTCAAACGTACTTGATCACATACAACAGACTGAGTTTTTTCTTAACTCACAAAAATGGTTTTGAGGAACATGTATTTTACAGAAGCCCCAGAGTATAATTCAAGGGTAGTAGCTCTCCAGAAAATCTGACCTACATCCTGAGAAAGACTAAAAATATATACACATCCCTCCAGAAAACAAGGAAATTGAATGTTTTAGTATAATTTTAAGGGATTAAAATATTTCCAGCCATGTATCTTAGATCCACCCAGCTTCTGTTGAAGTTCCCAGTAAATACCCACAGTTGAAGAAAGAAGGGAAAGTATTAAGGGAAAGTATTATGAGCAGCTCTTCCATGCTTGGGATAGACAACACAGACAACAGTAATAAATCTTTTGCCACTACAAAGAACAAAATGAAATTGTTTCAGTTCAGGTTTCACTAGGGTATGTGCTTAACGTCAGCCAACTTCACTCATCTGTCAATCCCTAGAACAGCACCTAGTACACAGCAGGCAAAAGGAGAAAGCTCAGGCCTTCCAGCTGTGATGAGGAATCTTCGGGTAAAGCAACTCCTGGCAAGTCAGCATCACATTGGTGGCACTGGAATATGCACCAGAAACTCCTGTGCATGATCCAATTACCTGAACAGATTTCTAAAATCCTGTTAAGTCAGAGATGTTCTGAGGAAAAGACAATGAGTAACTAAAGAATTTCTCAATGAAAAACTGTAGTTTGCTGACCAGCGCATCTCAGGCACAAAACCAAGTTTGATTTTGAAAGCTCCCAACTTTCTTGTTTAAAAAAAAAAAAAAAAAAAAAAAATAGTAGTTAATCAAGGAGAAGTGTAAAGAAGTAGTGATGTCCCCAGGTTAAGGCAGAAAAAAAATTCCATTGCAAGCCAATAAACACAAGAGTTTGAGTCACCAATTTAATTTTATACAAGTCAAACTACACATTGTATAAAGAGTACAAGGCAGTTCTAATGTTGCATGTTACAAAAAAATCGATTTAGCTATAAAGGGGAGTTTTTAGGATGAGTTCTATTCCACAATTTAACTGAATTCGCAACTGTGGTTTAGCAAAGCATTAAGACTAGAACTCTAGCTTGAAGAGATTACACTTCCAGTAAAGTTCAGGTTCAAACACAATACAATCTTAGTTCTGAAGCAGAATGTTAACATAAATGAGTCTAAAGGGAGCAAAGAGTTTTATTTTAGCTAGTTTTCATATCCAATAGATATTTCAAGGCTGACAAATCATACAACATACTAGTGGACTTCAGCTACATCCAAGACACATTAGTGTCTGAGAACTGCCACTTGATAGTCAAGCAAAAAAAAAAAAAAACGTCAAAAAGCTTTCATTCTTTTAAGTTTCAAAACTATGATCTGTAGCAATACTGCATGACACAGGTTAAGAGTACCTTTGTTACCTTTAATACAGTCACAGTATTGGGGAGGAATGTTCTTTTGGCAAGTTAAGATGCAAAACAAATGCCCCAACTTGAGTTTATTGCTGGTCTAGCCTTTCTAGATTATTTTCTTGCTTATAGCTTTGCAGCCTGCTTCCACAAATGAAGATAAACCAGACAATTCTAATCTGTCCAGCAAGACTATCTTGCCTTCGGTAGCAACCTGTAAACCTGCTGAGTCAATGATACTCATAGTTCTAAAACCATGGGAAAAAAAGAAAAAGCCCAGATTTAAGCGTGTTATATTCAATTTTTAATATAAAAACCACTCTGTACTTTAGAGTAGGTAAGCAGAAATGCTATAAAATCAAAGCTCTAGCTGAATGTCTAAAAAAAAAAAAAAAAAAAGAGGTGGGGGCTTTTTCCGCTTTGTACCACACCATCTGATCTCGTTTTCAAATTCAGGATACAAATTAAAGCTTTACGCGTCATTACTTAGTTCATAGGCCATTTACTCCTGCAAGAGAAAAAACCGACTTCTGAAGAACTAACATAACACTAATGGCCTGACAAGTAGGAAAAATGTTCCATAATAGTGTGCAGGGTAAGAGGAGAGTTCTAGTCTTAATCTCTTGAACTAGATCTTGATCGTGAGCGAGACTTTGAACGAGATCTGGAACGGGACCTCGATGCAGCTCTTTTAGGTGGTGACTCTGAACGAGCCTTGGCAGATGGCTGCTGCTGCGGAGAATTGGAACGAGACCTACTCCTTGACCTGGATTTAGACTTAGTATCTCCTTTACCATTTTCTTTGGGAGATCGAGACCTGGACCTGGACCGAGACTTCTCAGACTTCTCCTTAGATCTGCTGTGAGAGCGTGACCCCCTGTCAGACTTGGGTTTTGATTTGCTCTTTGATCTGGACTTCCGGCTTTTAGATCTGGAACGTGAACGGTCTTTGCTTCGTGACCTGGATTTAGATCTTCCAAAAAGACAGACAGTTTATTCCGCATGAACTGAAATACACTTTAGCTGCTTTAAGTTGTTACCAATTAATAAGCAGCAGTTCTTGTATTAGCAGAAAGCAATGGATCCCAATGGATCCCTTACCTGGAACGACTTTTAGAGACACTACGGGACCTGCTGCGGCTGCTCCTACTTCTACGACTTCTGCTTCTAGATCGCCTTCTAGACCGTGACCTAGACACATTCAAACACAAGCAGATCCTTATGTTTGTTTGGTGTGCCCTGCCCCGCTATTAATCATAGAGAAGCTGTTAAAGAACTTCTCAGCAAAGCAACCACATCAAGATATTCCACTAATCCACCTCAACTCACAGTGTACTGTCAATTAATCTTATCATGTAAAAACTCTCACACCCTACTTTGCTGCATTATATAGAACAACTCAATGTTCTCAGCAATCACCCCATTCCTAAAACACCAACTGAAGGTAAACTTCAGGTCAGGTTGCAGACACGCACACACATACATGTATACTCTTAGTTTAATTTAACTTGTCTTGATGCAGAGACTGACATATCCCACAAGTTACCTTGACCTGCTGCAAGAGTAAGACCGCCTATGGCTTGACCGTGGCTTGTCTTCAACCAGCCTGATCTTCCTTCCATTTATCTCTGTGCCATCCAGTTTGTCCAGGGCACGTTTCATGTCTGAGTATGACCGGAACTCTATTACTCCTTCATTTGTACGTTCTTTGTGAGCATCTGCATAGGTCACCTCACCAGCCTGCCTCATAAAATCCTTTTAAAAGAAGATGGAAAATTATGCAACCATTTCATATGCTTGCATGCAGCAATTACATTAGCTTAAGAGACAAGTCTGAGCAGATGAAAAAGCTTTAAGTGTGTGCCAACCCTCATGTGCAAATGCCTCTCAATTATTTCCACCAAAAATAACATCCACACAGAAAGGAAGCTACTGCCCACTATAGATCACAACACATTCTACGATAGAACACTAATACATACTTTCAAATCCTGCCAACTACAGCGACTGGAAAGGTTTTCAACAATCAGTCTGTGCTCTGTACGAACAGGTGGTCCATATTTATCTCTTCCAGATTGTCTCCGACTGCTATATCCGCCACCACCCCCACCTTTATTGTACAAAGAAATAAAGTTAGATTGTCTCCTAGCATGAAGAAAATTAAAACGTTCTGAAAAAGTTAGTTAAACAGTTATATTTACTGGAGTAGGACTTTATTTCTCTACACCTCCAATAAACTTGCAATTTTGCCATAATATATACTAATGGCAAATCAAACAGACTGAAATCCTGTAAGTTTGTCTTCCTAAGATCTGTTAGAGAGTGACTGCTCCTTATTAGATTCACCTTGCTAAGTTTTATTTTACAGAACATTGTAAAATATAAAACTTAACTGATTACATGCATTTCTACATTTTACAAAAACGTTTACTAGTTACACTAAGTACTTACATCACAGTATGAGGTTTTTGGTGGTGGTTTGGCACAAAACACGCAAGGTAACAGTCACCTAGTTCAGTTTAACCAGTTTTGTCTAACCCTTGGAATCCTCACCATCACCCTGCGTCTAATGGCAAAAGGCTGCTGTCGTCATGGCTTCCGGTAAGGTCAGCCAAAGGGTCATAGGGCAAGGGTCACACAATGTATGGAAAAGCCATGGCCAATCAGGAAAGGCAGTCATCTTAGCCTCAGTGGACACAGCCTCAGCCCCACTGGTCACTTTTAAATTGAAACATCAAGGACTTGTTAAAAAGTTTGAAATTGAACATGCAACAATTTTAAACAACATACATTTGATTCTTTTAAAGACAGATTCCCACCCCCCCCAAACACCACCATTTCAGAGATTACCAAACAGCAAACCGCAGTACTTCAGTTACAGTACCGGGCAGGTAATGCACACAGCTCAGCTCCTCAAGAAGCTACACGAGTGAGCTGAACATAGTAAAGTTTACAGCACGCCCCACGAATACACCAAACTGCTGCTGGAAATCCTCCCCCACCCATCACCACTGACTGCTTCTACCCCAATTAGGCAGCGATATTTACTCATTAACATTAGCGATGGAACACCACTCTTATCTAAGCGCTCCTACGAGCGGGGAGCCCACAGGCTAGCAGAGCACATTATTTCTAAGCTACAAGAAACTCTTTCTAGAAGAAGGCCCCAATTTCGCAGCCAAAACTGCTCCGTTTATATTCTCTCTTATTTCTCCGGGGTACCCGAGCGCAGCGCGGCGCCGCGACAAAACTCAGGCAGCGCTCCCAGCGGCGCCCAGGTACCCCGCACACGCACCGACCCCCAGCGCGGCCCCGCCCGGCCCTCGCCCCGGCAGCCCCCCGCAGAACGGACCGTACTCACTGCGGCTGCTGTAGCTGTACCCGTCCCTGTCGCGGCGGGGGCCGCGGGCGTGCTCCACGATCACGCGCTCCCCGCACAGATCCTTGCCGTTCAGCTCGTAAACGGCATCGTCGGCGTCGCGGGAGTCCTCGAACTCCACGAAGCCGTAACTGCGTGAAAAGGAACGGTTCCGTCAGCCCCGGCCCCGCTCGCCGGCGGCTCCCGAGCCCGGGACGATGAAGGCCGCCCCGCCGCAGCGCCCCCGCTCCCCCCGCGCCGTCGCCATTTTGAGGCGGGCGCCACGCGGCAGCGGCGGGAGGCGCGGGACGGGCCGCCAGTGTGGGGGAGGGGCGGCCCCGCGAGGCCGTGGTGGGGGGGGGGGGGGGGGGGGCGGAAGGAAGGCCGCGCCCGGGCGCTCGCAGGCCGCTCTCGGCCTGCGGACGGCGCTCACCCGTTTTTGAGGTCGACCTCGAGCAGGCGGCCATAGCCGCTGAAGAAACGCTGGATGTCCTTCTCCCGGACGTGGTAGCTCAGGCGGCCGATGTACACGCGCGGCATATCCGCGGCCGGAGGGGGAGGGAAGGGGAGAGGGGAGGGAGAGAATAAAAAGAGAAAGAGAGGGAGAGAAAGAGGCGAGCAGAGAGCGGGAAGCGTGCGATCCCAAGCCCACAAGCCGCGACGCCGCGGCCTGCTCCGCAGCACAATGGCGCCCGCCGCCCGCGGTCGCTTTTATAGCGGGGGGCGGGGCCGCAGCGGACGTTACGGCGAACGCGGGTAAGGGGCGGGGCCGAGCCCGTGACGTCACCGCGCTGCCCGAGCGGGCCGGTGGAAGAGAGGTGCGTAAGGCGGTGTGTCTGCGCGCGTGCGCGTCTCTCTGCGCGTGTTGGAGCTCGCGGCGCAGGGGCCGCCTGTGCGCATGCGCGGGGCGGTGGCAGACTTTGGGTGAGAGCGGCGTTCCGCCCGTGCGCAGCGGCATTTCCCGATCGTGTGGGTGCGTGACCTGCGCCGCCCTGCCTGTGCTGCTGATGCGGGCGTGCGGCCTCCGTGCGCGGCTCGGCCCCGCGGCTGCACTGCTCTGGTGCTGCTCCCATCGCTGCTGAGCCGTTGTCCGTCCCGTTACTGTTATTTTTCACTCGTGCTCATTAAGAGGATAAAGATCCACGGATCCAAATTAGATAAACATTGGTTGTGATTATTCATGTGAAATTGTCCGTGTTAGTGCCCACAGCAAAGGAGAGCTGGATGCTAACATCTGGAGGAAGCAACCCAATTACGTAATTCTTGTTAAAATGCCTGTGCTGGCTTTCTGACAGTGTGTAAACATCTGCTTATGTTCAAGGAGAAGAGGAAAGCTAAACTACTTCTTAAGGGCTTCCCTGCAAGTGGAAACTCTTCATCATCAGAGCCTTAAATTAACTGCTTTTTCAGGAAAGGCTTGCTCTGTATTTTCACACAGCCCATGGAAATCCTGCCCCTGTCACACAAGTGCAGCGTCTCTGCCTCTCTGCATAAGGAGTTTCTTTCCCCTCTCCAGCAGGAAAAGAGAATTCTTCATGACAGAAGTGTTGTTTGTGCACCCTCTGAGCACCAAAACTTCAGCTGCTGTTTATTTCACCACTTTCTGTTTGGAGAATATGTCCAGACAATGCTGCAAAAATTGAAAGAAACACGGCTCGGCTGTGGGCTGTATGGAGCATAAAAGCACAAGTAGTCCCAGCACTTTCTTGGTTGTGTTTTGCTTGGAAAGAACTGTGACTGGGGCCTACCTACCCCAAGCAAAGTGGTGTCAAGTTTTGCAAACCACAGCAAACAGATGAAAATTGGTGTTTCTGTAAAAAATCCATTGGACAAACCCATCTCCTAAGAGCCACATCAAGTTAGAAAAAAAATAGCCAAATGAGTAAACAACAAAGTATAAAAGAGAGAAAGGTCTAGAAAGGGTCAAAATAGCACTAAAATGCATGTACTGGCTTAAAGGAATGTCTAGGATGGCAAAAGACAGAGAGTTGCCCCATTCCATCTCTGTTTGGCCTGGGTCATTCCTAGCAGCATGTCTTGCTGATGAGGGGAGCAGTGCTGCCTGGACCTTTCCAATTCTGGACTAGAACACATGCAAAGCCCATTCATTGGCAGAGGAAATTGTACAGTTATTTTCAATGCAACAGTGCCCATTTCTCCAGTGAATTTTCACACCTGTGCACCAAGTGCAAATATCAGAGGATGGAACTGTATGAAGTTCCATATTTCATATTCAACACTGATATTCCGTCATGGGGTGATGCACCTTTGAAGCCTCATAGGGCTCCCATTATATGCTTTGGGACGATATCTCAAAGCTCTTGTCAGACGACTGCTGTAAAGAATGGAAAGTGATCCCCAGTGCTTGGAGTCATGCTAGGAGCTGTGCTTGGAGTCATGCTTGAATCTCGAAGCATGACAGTTCTGTTATTTTGTTCCTATACTTGAGAGTCGAAGGGACTTCATGGTGCCTTCTCACTGGGTGCTGTGTCCAATGTCTGCCTCTGGTGCACTTTCAAGACATTTTGAAATCCTTGATTCCCGCACCCCTACCCTTTTTTTCCATTGGTTGTCCCACATAATCACTTCCCTGTTTTTCACAATGCTTCTTTTTCCTCTGATATTCTCCCACTTCAGGGGGCTTGATGGCCGAGCTAAGGTCAAGGCGATACCTAGTAGGAGAACAGCAAGAAATCTGCCTAGGCAGATGTCAGACCCATATGACCAGTCTCGGCTGTGATTAGAGGCATATTCTTAGCCTTCACTTACGGTCTGTTGGTAAACCTGAGAGGCAAGAAGAGGCTGCAAAACAGGTATGTAGTGACCAGAGATAAACCTCACCTCTTACACAGGCCAGGCCTGCTAATGGTGTTACTCACAGGAGACACAGATGAGATCCAATTGTCTTCTTCTTCTGCATCAGTGGTCCTGGGCCATTTCCCATCGCTATCTCTGTATTGTCCTATTTTTATGCCCCGACTTATTCCTTTCTTATTCCTGACATAAGTACGCATCTTTCTACAAAGGGATGTGTGTTTCTGACCCCTGGGAGCCCAGAATAAATGGCTTAAATGTGTTAATTGACTGGCCTGGCTCACCAAATGAACTGGCTCCACAGAACTGTAAGTTGCAACTCTCTAGTTCAAACCTCTGATGCGCTTACTTGGGCACTTAAGACAAAGAGGGAACAGAGAAATGAAGATAAGTATTAGTCTTTCCACACAGCTTCCACAGTGGAAGGTGGGAGAAGCATCATAAGAAGAAATTACAATTCATCCTTTTTCTTGCTAAAGGTGAAAGGCTCTCTTGTTACAAAGACTTGAAGTCTGTAATTAATCATAATCTGTGAGATACAAAGCAGAGCTCTGGTAACTTTTTAGTGGTCTTTTTTTTGTTAGCCCAATAAAAAACATGTAATTTGTCTGTTTTGTTGAGTACTAATATTTGCCTAGTGATTATTTCTTATAATCTGTTGTCAAAGGAGTTCTCAGCGTGGAATTGATGATCTTTCTCCAGTCTTGCCAGCAGCATAGTGTTGCCGTTACACTTTCCTTTCAGATCAACAGTTCCCTCTCACATCTCTGACAGAACCCGGTTCTGAGCTCAGGGTGCTCCTCACGAGGCTGCCAGGAATGGATTTTTTCTTTTGCTCACATTTTGCCTCACTTCTTTAGGTGAATGTCATAGCCACTGGTATCTAAGGGTAAGTTTGTATTCACAGTTAAAATGGATTTGTAGTTAAAGTAGATTCACAGTTAAAATGGATTCACTGTTAAAATGTTAAAAGAGTTGCAAAAGCTGTCATCATCCAGTCATGGTACAAACTAAAAAATGTTTTGAAGTGAGCAGAGGTGCAAGAGATGTTCATGGCTCCCAGGGGCTGTTGTTCAAGCAACTCATCCATCCGCTGTGGCTTAGCAGATCCTTCAGAGCTATCATGCTGGGTCAGACTAGTCACTGACTTGTGAGTGTCTGCCTGGGCTTTGGACCAAAACTGAACCTCTTGACACATACACTCACATCCACTCAGAGGGCGGTGAGCACCTGGCACAGGCTGTCCCATCCCTGGAGGTGCCCAAAGCCAGGCTGGATGGGACTTCGGGCAGCCTGATCTGATGGGGGGCAGCCAGCCCATGGCAGGAGAGTGGAACTCTATGATGTTTAAGGTCCTTTCCAGCTCAGGCCATGCTATGATTCTGTGTTTCTATGATGCATGCAAATATACTGAATTGACAGTAAATGCTTCTGAGTGTTAGTGGGTAGCATGTGACTTTTTAACACTTTTTTCTATTGTGTATTTGGCTGTCCTTACGTGTTTTGCGGGCACTCCCTGGGCATCATCAGTGCCCAGTTAAGGGCGGCAGTCAATTGGCTTTTGTAGCTTGCAGTCTCTTGTTTTCTCTTCTGCAAAAGGGCTTCATCTCCCTATGTATCCATTTTCTAAACAGAGGCACCCAATATAGGTCTGGAGGTATCCTTATACAGCTTGGACTTACACGCATGAGCAGAGATAGATATCCTTGGGCAGTAGATGTGTTTGTTCTCCTCCCCAGTAGCACTGCTATGCAATGTGTACTGTTTACATCTCCTATATGGTCATAGATTACAGCAAAAATACACTCTCCATGTGGACATCCTGCCTGTCCCTAAGAAATATCACAGTAATGTCATCTATTCTGTGCACAGACAAAGTACTCATTACATGATGAGACCTTTTTATGATGATGATGATGATGATGATGATGATGATGATGATGATGATTATTATTATTATTATTATTCGGTTTGGGAAGTGTATCTAATGGTCAGTTGTTTAATTTTGTCCTGTATGTGTTTGTAAGATTGATTGACCTATCTGTGTGAGAACTGTAGATACAGCTGCCACATTGCTGTTTTCATAAAGTGTCACAGAAAACACGTGGTGCTGTCTGTGCTTAGGACAAAAAATTCTCTGATTTGGGATGTCTCCTAGACTGGGTCCCCAACCTCTGCTACCTTGTGAGAATATAAAAGGTGAATGCTCAGTGAGGTAAAAGTGAATACTTTCAAATGCTTTCTGTCTAGCATCTTATATCACTGGAAGAACAGACAAGGATTCCTTGCTCGATTGTCTGTAAGTGATTCTCCTGATGAAAATATATTTGAGCCTGTTGCTTCCATGCAGAATAGGGCCCTAGGAGGTTATCACTGACTCCAGTCTGTCTGTCAGTAGACATTATCAACATCTTTCTCATTTTGAAATTTTGATGAAGTTATTTTCATTTCAGTAGCATTTTGGTATCTTTTTTCTTGCCAACCCTCGTTACTGCCCTCCACTGGATTCACTGCTGCGTTGTTTAGCAATGGTACTGACTGCCCAGCAGAGGGGTGCAGAAACCAGTATACCGACAGCAAACTGGCTCTCATTTCCCCCATTTTCCCACCTGCTGTGTGTGGTAAGCAGCTCCCAATCTCATTTCAATAGCATGGCTTCACAAGCCATGGCAGCCTTAGGGCTGAGAGCCGTGGAGTTGTGGAAGGTTGGACCCTTTGTCAGCAGAGGCACAGTGCAGGAGCCAGGCCCTCTGCTCTGAGCAGCTGTGGGGTAGTGTGAGGATTGCACAAAAAGGGTGCCTGGTGGAGGAGATGAAGAGTGAGGCCAAGCCATCCCGGATCTTGAGGCACTGTGGCCCAGCATCAGCAATCTCCTCTAGG